AATACATATCTGAGAAGTGACTTCAATATAGTCAAACAATCTTACAACACAGTAATTTAAAATAATTTAATAAAAATGATAAAAAAAATCACAAGAGAACATAAATAGTATTCCTGTGAAAACATACTTATACATACTTATCATTGTCTTTATAAAAAATATATACCCAGTAAAATGTCTGGGTTACATTAAAACCAAATTAAAACAATGACTGAAGTCTTGGCAAGAATGGAAAACACCAAGGACTCTCATGATTTCTAAGTTTAACATAGTAAAAGTACATATAGAACACATTTCCTAAAATTAATATCCCTAACATTAGGTTCCAGAATTCCATATCTAGATATTAGAGAAAAATGAGAATATATGTTCACAAAAAAGAATTATACAGAATATATAGCACTTATAGTAAAATCCTAGAAACAACCCAAATTTCAGTTTTACAGAGGAGTAGATAAACTGTACTCCTGACATAAGGACTAATAACAAACAGAAATGGACTATATATGAGATAACATGGTTGAATCTCATAGACATGCTCAAGAAAAGTTAATCACAAATAATATTGATTCTGTTTATTTGAGGTTCTACAGTACTCAAAACTAATCTACAAAGCTAATATTGGACAAAGTAGCCCTCCCTTCTAAGTGAAGGCTACTTTGAAGACTGGGTGTTATTGACACCTGGCAATTTCTGCAGTGATGAACTTGTATTGTATCATAACAGGATTGTATATATAGAAAACTCAAAAGCTTAAGATTGGTGCACTTCACTATACCTGAAATATATGCAGAAATAATGTATTGGATTCTTGTAACTAGGTTTGTTTTTCTAAGTATTATTCTGTATTATTCTGAAGTTATTTTATTTGCACTTCACATTAATCAAATGGACATAATTTTGAAACTATAGAAGCCATATTTTTCATTATTGGAGTAATGAGTTAAAAACTGTGGCAAAAGAAAGGAGCAAAAATGGAAGTTGGATTGTTCATTAATAAATATTGTGAAAATCACAAAATTAACAAGTGTTGAAAGCTCAGATTTCCTTTTCATTGCTCTATAACTCATGTGTTTAATGCCCCTAAATGAAAATACTGATCTTCCTTCCAGTTCAATCTTAGCAGAAAGTCTGGATTAGAATCAAAGCACATGTTTAAAGCACCACTACAGAATTTCAAAATCATGTTCTTCTATTTCAGTACTTAAACTTTACAGAACAAGATTTAATAGATCCCTTTATATTTGATGATGATTTGTTTAACCAAGCCACACTAAAGCCACCAGTACAACTTTGTTCATTGAAGCTTGTTTACCATAGCTAAGATATGGAATCAACCCAGATGTCCTTCAGTGGGCAAATGGATCAAGCAAATGTGATATATAGACACAATGAATTCGATGCTTCCATCAGAAAGAATGACATTGTCCATTGTCTTTACAATAAAAATACATTTAAAAAGAAAATGGAAAGGCTTGGAAAAAATTGTATTAAGTGAAGTATGCCAGACCCAAAAAAGAAACTTAGGCTGCATGGTCTCCCTCATTTATAATAATTAGGATGTGCCTATAAATCTACAAGTAAACCCAGTGAATTGTAAAAGACAAAAAATTACACTTGGACATGATTAGTTAAACAGAACTCAAAATATTTACACAGTGATACCAAAGGAAGGTATTCTTAAAGAGAGGATTAGAAGGCTCCATGTGCATATGATCACATAAAATGTTTAGCAAAATGAACCCAAGAAGTGGAAACAGGAGGATTTTTGTTGTATTGCTTGTGGGTTCCCCCTTTAGTTTTATTCCGTCTGTCACTGTTTTTGATTTCTATACCCTTTGTCTTGTATATAATTTTCTCTGATTTGGGGAGGGGAAGAGATAGCATTGAAAAGGGATTGAACTAATTCAGCAGTGATACTCACTAGGCACTGTGTTGGAAATGAACTATACAACTTGTGGGGAAAGGAGGTTGGGAGGAGAAAAACTGAGAGGGAAATGAGGGAGAAAGTGATACTGTTCAAAGAGAAACATACTCACTACCCGACTTACATATCTGTAACCCCTGTACATCACCCTTATAATGCTATATATGCTATATATTATATGTTATGCATTGTACACATTATATATTATATACAATAATATGTATACTATTTTATACTATACATTGTATACATTATATATTTCATACAACAATATGTATATTATATAATAAGCAATAATATATATGTAACAATATATATAAACTATACATAATGATTTAAAAGACTGAAATCATTCGTACTTGGCAGAATTTAACTACCAAATTATTTAAAACTATCTGTTAATTACAGCTGTTCAGCAAAATAGAAACTCTTCTCACCACAGGAATAAACACTGCACGCCTGTTTTTGACAATAACTATTTGTATGTGGCTGGGGCACTGTGGTGAGAAGCACCAGTGTATATAAAAACAGTACAGAAGAGGTGATCTTGCTGAGAATCGATCCTGAAGGACATAGGGAGCTCAGTCACTTGAAAAGCCATGAGGTAAATGTCTGCTATGATTTTCATGACCCCAAATACTGTATTTGGAATTACAGAGTGATAAAGGTAATCTAATCAAAGCTCATCAAACCAAACCTAGGGGATGTGGACAGAAGGGAACCTTACTGCATTGTTGGTGGGAGTGTAAACTTGTTCAACCACTTTGGAAAGCAGTATGGAGGTTCCTCAAAAGACTCCACATAGAGCTTCCCTATGACCCAGCAATCCCACTTTTGGGCATTTACCCAAATGTTCACAAACAAGACCATACTAAAGCTACCAGCACGACTATGTTTATTGCAGCATTATTTACCATAGCTAAGATATGGAACCAACCCAGATGCCCCTCAGTAGATGAATGGATCAAGAAAATGTGGTGTATATATACACAATGGACTTCTATGCCTCCATCAGAAAGAATGACATTGCCCCATTTGTTAGGAAATGGAAAGGCTTGGAAAAAATTATATTAAGTAAAGTAAGCCAGGCCCTTATTTGCAATATCTAGTGTATGTCTGAGTCAAGCGGAAAAGGTCAGATAAGGTGATGTTAGGGAAATGAACCCTAAGATATGTATTCAAATGTTTTTTTTCTTTCATGCGATTGTTTCTAACACATTTATAATTATTTCTTTGTTGCTTTGTATGTCCCTCCCCGACAGTATAACCCCTGCTTTCACTGTATTTGATGTCAGTATAATTTGTGGAGGGGAAGGGGAAAAACAAATCGTTTAAATAGTGATACAGGTGGACCCATTGCAACAATGAGATGTACAAGTCGTTATGTCGAAAACGAACTTTACAACTTTGGTAGGGGGGCGGGGAGGATTGGGTGGGGGATGGGGGGAGGATGGGAAGGGATGGGAAGGGGAAACGAAGGAGGAGGCTACAATGCTTGATAAGAAATGTACTCATTATCTTGACCATGTAATTGTAACCCCTCTGTACAGTATTTTCACAATAAAATAAAATTAAAAAAAATATTTTGTATAAACTACTTCACAAGTTTAGTTAATTATGAAAGATTATCTTGAAATTTGTCATTATGTGGTTTCTCTTATATGGAGAAGGGGGACAAATATGTCAATTGTTCTGTTTCACCAGATTTTATTTTTCTGTGCTGAGGTTTCTTAAGTATTACTCTGAATAGAACAGAACATAGATGCCCATAATTGATTTCTACCATTCTAAGTCAGGGAAAACTGACTGAAGAAATATCAATGAACTATATATGTTTAGGAGAGCAGAATAACAGGGAAACTTCACTTTTTTTTCTGAATCTATTAAATAAGCCCTAGTTGCGGTAACTTCTTTTTCCTTTATTCTCATGGAAACTAATTGCTCAATAGTTAGCTTTTGTAAGGATTATGCAGACATTTGAAAACTATCAATTTTCCCCCAAATTGTTCCTTTCCCCTAGATAAATTACATCCAATTATTTTTATATTGGTTTTATTATCTCTGAATAGCTTTTTTTTCTATATAGAAATCTGCGGTATCCGTCAGAGTTTGAAACCAAATAAAAGTAGAGAAATACTGCAACCTCTCCAATTACCTGTCATCCTGCTGATAGACCTAGCGCTCTCTTCCCATTCTTAAAATACGATCAATACTGGACGCACTTCCTGTATGGATTTCCGTTTTCTTGGTCCTCAGAATTACTTTGCTGCGTATCAGTAGTTAGGGAAATGATAAAGCCACCCTTTCCCTGCTGGTTTAATAGGCATTGCCGGGAGAGCTAGAAGAGGCCTGAGACGTGGGTGCTGCACAGTGGAATGGCCTCCTCTTCCCCAGATAACTCTTTGGCCTTCTGCCGTTCACATCCTAAGTACAGGTCTGACATGGGACTGAAAACAACGCTGTCACCATTACCTCGAAAGTCCCCAAGGGCAGGAGTGCACAAGACTTGTACATACCTGAGACAGACCTAAACCAGCCACACACCTGGAAGTGACACACAAAACAGAGATGGACTGAGAAGGAGAAAGTGGCCTCAGAGAAGGTAGTAATGTATATGGTCCGGAAAAGAGAATGAGTACCCAAGCACCACGGCTCAGGTATAGCTTGTTCCAACAAAGAGACTTGACTGATGGTCCCCGATCAGTGCCATCGTGATTTACTCTAATCACGGTCTCTTTCCAAGTTTTCATCCAAGGGGATCACACTACCTTCCATCTGACATGCTGCCCCCTGCTCTCCATTATCATCCACTCCCAGGCTTCCTCGTGGCCAGATAAGCCACAGGCCACAGCCCTGCAGAGGACATCAGATCTACTGGCCAGGCTGCATTCAACCAGTATCAGAGTCTTCCTGACATTCCTTCCAGCCTTTTCTTTTAGAATAACGCAGTCTGGGTCGCTTCTTGAGTGAGCAATGCAGCCTCTGCTTCAGATTTGACAGGACTATGGGCTGCTCGAAATCTGTCCTTTCTCCCTTCTAGCCAACGCGATCTGAGTTGGCCTGGAGGTGAGCATCAAGATGGCTCAGCTAACTCTGCAGGTATTTGTGGAGGGTCGGGGATTTGACAGTGACCCTTGAGCACAGGCCCAGACCAGCGGTCCTTTTCCCTGTTCCCATCAGTGATACCACAGGCTCCTGTCAGGATGAGTCCACGGATGCTGCTCAATGGCCTGGCCAATTGAAGCCATGCGGCTTCATCACCTAGCGAAGCACAACTTCTACCTGGAAGCGGCCCCCGGGTTAACGGCTGGGCTTCGGGCTAACATGCCAACAGCTGTGTTCATATCACTTTGAGGATCTGACATTTCTGTGGTCAATTTTTTATTTCAGTTTTTAAAACAGTGTAATTGCCAAGTCTTTGTTGCTTGATAGTCATATCTCTGACTTTTAAATACGGCCATGTGCCAGGGCTTCACTGATGCTCCATTTTTAGATGGGTTACTCCCGTTGGTGTGTTGATGCTCACATTTAACACTCACATCTTAGATCTGCTTCCCACCTGGATATGTCCAAAGTATACATCAGCCTTGACAGGCCACCTTCTCAAATCCTCTTCTTCCTTCTTCCTTCTTCCACTCCCCCTCCTTCTCCATTAACTTCTCTTCTTTCTTCTCCTCCTTCCCCTTGACCATCTCAGTAAATAACATCGTATTGCTCTATTTGTCCCAAAGCAAAGATGATCTTCACGCTTCCCGTAATCCTTACCATAGCCTATGCATCTGTACGAAAATGTTATTGGCCACTTTCAAAAATATATCCCAGTGTAGTCCATTTCACCGTCCTGTCTTCTTGCCCTGATTCTTATTACACAATCTACTATTCTCTTTTGGTATTCACCTTTACACAGGCCTTGTCTATACGATAGACTGATCCTGTTAGGACAATCGGCTTGTTCCGTAGATTTCCTTTACCTGATATAATCAATAAAATAAACTTCTTATGAACTCATAGTAAAACCCAAGGAGTCATTATGACTGTACTATTTAACAAACCTTTACCCCCCCCAAGCCAGCTTCCCTCCCGCATCCCCCAGTTCTTCCCTCCCTCCATTTTCTCAACGCTGTGACTGTGGCCAAAGCAACTCAGGTGTGTGCCTGAACCAGGCCTGCACTCAGAGTTGTCTTTTCACAGACGCTGCAGCCTTGCTGCCACAGTTCCTTTGGACGTCTGCTGAAACATCACCTATCCAAGGTGCCCTGCCTGACTGCTTTACACAAAAAGCGCTTTGTCACCCTCATTTTCCTGAACCCGTCCTTCATTTTCCTTTTGTACTGCCGCACTTCAGAGTTCTCCCAAACACTGGGCGTGGTCTAGATTGATTGTATTTATTCTGTGTGGTTGCTGTTTGCTCTATTTGCTCACCCCAATTCGAATGCAGGACCCATCAGCCTCCCGAATTCTGTGTAACAGTTAATGGAATGGGGCTTTTCCTAGAAAGCACCAATAAATTGTTCATAGTATTCATTAATTAGTCTGAGAAGAATACCGGCATCAATACCAAGAATTCAAAAAGGTTTTCTGTATAACATACATCTAAAGTAATCAAATGCGATGTCCTCACTAGATGATTTGTGCCCCACCTAATTAACAGGATGTTTTTGTTCTTCTTAGCGTTATGAATTCTTAGCCCACTAACATGAACAGAGGGGACATCTCTAATTATACTGACTTCATTTCTCATATAAAGTAGAAAGAAAAATTGTGTTTAATGGTTGAGATAATCATTCTGTAAGAGGATGTAAATTTATGCATTAAAAACTCTGGTACAGGGCTGATGTAACTGGTGATAAGTGGAACAAAACAGAACTACCGTACTGATGTCCTGAACTCCTAAGTTGGTTCTTTGGACAGAGAATAACATTTCTACTGCCTTTCTACTAAATGCTGGAAATTTTCATTATAGTCAACATATTTTCACAGTTGAAGGATCATAGTACAGGTGGATCATTAGTAAAGGAAATACTAGATACTCCTTGGCATCACAAAGAAATTTCAGTGTTAAAATGCTGTGTGTGAAATGGACGGTGATTTGAGAGTTAAAGGAGAGAGAAGAGAATGGCCCTGGAGTAGGTGAGGAATTAGGTGGAATTTGGAAGCGAGGGAGTATATGGCCAAAGAGAAACAGCTACTATTATATAATGTACAATGTTAGTTTAGTGTTGGCACTGGAGCTAGACGCTACTCTTTCACTGATGCTCTTTTTGTTTCATTGAGATATTCTAGCTACTTAAGTATTGTTTGTGCTTTGTAAGAAGAATGGGGCTCAGAATGTGGAACATATGCATAGGGAGAGCAGCAAGACTACAGAAACAGGGGCAGAGCTCAGAGACCTCTGTGAAGAGGCGAGTAACAACGATGCGGATGTGGACAGATGGACACTGTGGGCATTATAGAAAGGGACCAGCTCATCCTTTAGTATATGGAGAACTGAATGACCATTGGGTGAACAATAAATTAAGAGGTTTAGAAACTCCAAAGTAGTGAAATTTGTCTTGTGGAGAAGGGATTTATGGAGAGGAGGTTTTTGCATTCCATCACCTAGTTATGCAAAACACAGATTGAGGGAAAACAAAAAAAAATCAAATTGCATTAGAGTAACTAGAGTACTAACAAAACTCTTCAACGTACACTATGTTTTAGTCAAGTCTTGACTTTTATTTCTTGATGCTTTATCTTCTTCCTTCTGATGAACTCTAGAGCTTAATATGTTTTAGTTTGCTCTGACTTTCAAGAAACTGAATTAAGTTTTTCTACCCTTTTGTTACACATTTATGTCTGATTGTATCAATTAAATTATTTATGAGCCATATACCTACTTGGAAGGAAATTTCATGAAATTACAAATGCTTGAGCTTAGAAACATATCACTTGGTGAGCAATCTGGGAAAGATTCTAGTGTCCAGCAGGTAGAGAAGTCACAGAAGGAAGTTGTGGTATCATTAAAATATCACATAGATAAATATATTTTTGATATGAGGCACTTGTCTGTTGTAGAGTTTGTGAAGATCTTCTTCCAGTCTGTGGGCTTTCTATTCATCTTGCTAACTATGTCCTTTGTCATGCAGAAGCCCTGCAGTTTAATGCAATCCATTTATCCAGCCTTCCTTTGGTTTGTTCTGTTTCTGATCTTTATTTAGGAAGTTTGACCTGTGCCAAGGAGCCCTAACGTATCCCCTATCTCTCCCTGTAATCTTTTCAGGGTATCTGCTCTTACCTCAAGGTCTTTTATCCATTCGGTGTTGATTCTGGTGCAGGCTGATATATAAAGATCTAACTTCAGTTTTCTGCATGTGTGTAGCCAATTCTGCCAGCATCATTTGTTGAAGAGGCTGTCTTTCTTCCAGCTGATGTTTTTGGCTCCCTTATCAAAGATTAGGTGGCCATATGTCTGTGGGATCATTTCGGGGTCTTCAGTTCTATTCCATTGATCCTCAGGCCTGTTCATGTGCCAGTACCAAGCTGTTTTTTGTAACTACAGCTTTATAAGACTTTGAAGTTTGGTATTGATGTCCCTCCAGCACTGTTTTTCCTGATAAGGATTGTGTTTTGCTGTTCAGGGTCTTTTATTATTCCATATGAAATTTTGGATTGCTTCTTCTATTTCATTAATGTTGTTGGGATGCTGATGGGTAATGCACTGAATTTGTAGATAGCTTTGGGTAGTAGTGCCATTTTCATGATGTTACTTCTCCCAATCCAGGAGCATGGGAGGTTTTCTACTTCCTTAAATCTGCTTTAATTTCCTCTTTCAGGATTTAAAATATTTTTATCATAGAAGTCCTTTACCTCTTTGGTTTAATTAATTCTTAGGGTTTTCTTGAGGCTATTAAAAAAGCAGTTGCTTTTCTGAATTTGACCCCTTTTCCCATGGTTTGCTTTGGCATACTTGTGATAAGTCACTTTGGACTGAGAGTTAAAGTAAATCTTCATGTGGATGGAGTAGTTGTGGTGGGGAAAATGGCTTAGTGTTTTTTTTTTCCTACAAGTTAAGCCCAAATTATATTCATTATGCAGACCACCTTTCTCTCTTTCTCTCTGTGTATGTGTGTGTGTGTTCTATTTTTTGTGGTGGCATTGGGAGTTGAAATGGGGTCCTCACTGGGCAGCAACTCTTACCACTCTATTATGCCCCTAGCCCTATTTTTTGCTTGATATTTTTGAGATAGGGTCTTCCTGCCCTGGTGTATTTCAGGTCACAATACACCTATGATTGGCTTCTGGATATCATTAATTTAACAGGCAGAGGTTCTTGTGCTCATCTTTTTGTTGAGAAAGGTTCTTTCCAACTTTTCTGCCTGGGCTGGCCTCTTACCATCAGCCTCTTGTTACCAGTCTTCTAAGTAGCTTGAAGTACAGAGATAAGCCTCCAGCACCCTGAGCTGTTCTTTTAATTGTTCAAGTAACTGTGGATGGTATACACAGGAGAGGAGTTTAGTGGTGTAGCTCTTTGAACCCACTTGTTACAGTTTAACAAAATGAATCCCAGGAAGCCCAAATGTGTTGGTGAAGTGGGGGAAGGTCAACAGGATGAGCGCAGGTGAACGGTGAAGGGAAAAGTAGACAAATTCAGCCACACTATGTAATGCACACACAGAAATGTGGAACCAGGTCACTGAGGACAGGGTTTGAAGAGATGAGGGAAAACGATGGAAGGCGTGACACTGGAACTCATTTTTCCAACTATGGAAAGATAATAAAAAATAGTAACCATAGCCACAAAGATGAACTCACCTAATTAACTGTAAACATGATGCACATTTTGCAGGCACTCAATAAGCTTTAGTTGATGGAGATTTTCACTTTTTCTCTAGTCTCATAGCTTAGTTATTTTAAGTTTACTGTACACATGGAAGTTCTCACCTGAGAGGGAATAAAAAGGACTCGGGATTAATGGTCTCATGATGTTCAATGGCTCAAATCATTTAGCCAAATTTTATTTTTTTTTCTGGAGATCTCTAAAACGAAGGGAAATAAAATCCTAACTAAAAAGTGTATCAAACATTCTTCTGCTTGTCCAACAACACACCTTTTATGAATACTCATTCTTGCTAGGAAAACAATAGGATTAAAATAGCCCTTGACAAGAAAGTTATAGTAAAAATTTATCCTTCATTTTTCAGAGTTTAGAAAACAGGAACCATAATTTTAATTAGGAAATATTTGAAACTTTAGTCTCTAATTCTAAATAAATAGGTCAAAAGTTTCCCAATGAAGCATAGGGACCATTAAATCAGCAATACAAATAATACGAACAACACA